CAACTAACAGCTTTATTGTTTTCGAATACAATTAAGGACGGACCAGCTCAGTTCAGTAAAAGAGAGAAAGCAAAAAAATATACAACGAATTATTGTACCGTTCTTTGTGTTTGCCCTACTCTTGTTAAAAATTAAACCTTTACTGATCAGTAAAAGGTATAAAACAAGGTGCTTTTTAAAAATGGAACACCCACACGCGCACACTGAGGATTAAAGCAAAAAGGCTGTTCCGAGTTCACAACAGGGTGATAGCGTGCATACACATTAGCCAAGCTTGCGTTAACGCAACCTCACATTTATGTATATACTTTAAAAATATTTTTACCCCTAACCCATATTATATATTTACAGCCCATTGCGCAGACGGGGATACCGTGCGAGTTGACTTCATCTGTCGGTAATCGATTGGTATGCTGAATGAGCCATCGTAGCTGGCGATAGCATTGGGTCGAAAAACGTTACTCAGAGGTTCAATCTAGAGGACGTTATGTATGGCACTCGTTCCAAATAAACCACGGCGCGCCCGTCATAGCAGCTTTTTTTGTTTCATTTAAAGCGAAGAGACTATGGCCGGTGAGTTGTGGGCCCAAGCAGAAGAAGCGTATATCAGGATCGGTCCGGTGCACAAAGATAAAAGCGTCGTTTGTAGTGCAGCGAGAGATTGAATCAACGCCTTGACCTTCGCCGAGATATATTTTACGTGCGCCGTCACAAGAGCTTATTGTCAATAATGTTCCTAGGTATTTCCCTTGAGGACACTAAAGAATTATCTTATTTTCAAAGGTTAGCGGTGGTATTGGTGTAGTGCGCTTCTTTGTGGTACTGCAGACGCTCGCACAATAGCGCAGGTGACTTTGACGAGGAGTACATCGCTGTCATCCGCATGTAAGGTAATTCGCGTGTTGCGCACAGAAAGTGCAAAAAGTAGAGGTGATAAAAGAGATCCTTGTGGAACTCCGGCTGTTAGTGGTCTTAGAGGTGTGCGCGTATCGCCCACACTATATTAAAGACTCGGTCCTTAAGGTAAGATTTGATGACGTTAAAAAAGAATAGCAAGAAGGGCTATGGTGCGCAAGTTGCGAAGCAACCCTTGTGCCAAACTAAGTCAAATGCTCCTTCGACATCAAAAAAGACGGTACCCATTGCCTCCGGGTGATCCAATTTGTTGAGTGAGGTTGTTGGGTCGTGGTGGATTTTAGTAGAAATCCAAAGTGGAAATCTGGCAAGGCGTGGCTTGCAGCAGCAACTGCTTTCTAGCGGCGCTATGCAGCCTCAGCTACTTTGCGAACGGCTGACAAGAGGTGGATAGGCCTGTACTTGCTTGGCGTAGATGCTGGTCGTGGTGTCTATGGGAGTATCTCAACAGTTACCGTTTTCCAGCGCAATGTGAAGGCGACCAGAGCCATCGTAGAGTTGATGAGGCAGCAAAGGCGTTCTACCGCCATCATTGTGTAATTGCTTCAACCTCGCGTTGGTGATACTGTCGGAGCCAGGTTCTTGTCCTCTCGGTAGAGCGTTAATTATCTTTACGATTTTAACTATGGTGTTCGGCACAAGCTGCTCCTCGGCAATCAGCAAGGAAGTTTAATTCACAAAGCACTTTATCAGCAACTAAATAAGTAGGTGGCACACACTGGGTAGCGAGGTGATTTGCCATCATTTTCCGCCGCAAAATTACCGTCTGGCATAGTAGGTAATGGTAAAAGAGCTCGGTTTTTGTGTTTCCAGTTAAACTTTCAGGAGGAGACGCGGCCGTTACCGTTATCATCCGATATATTAACCTTGCCTGCCACAATCGGTTATGGTGTGCCAACAGCTCTTATGCGGTCTACTAAGCGCTAATTTATCAACGGGGCGTTGTGACATCGTGACCACTCAAATGAGGCGTCACCACTCGCAGATAAAGGCCTTCAATTTATCAGGCAAGCGGTTAGGGCGGAAGTCAACTTTACTTGTTCTCGTGGCGGTGTTGTACGTCAAAGCGCCCTTGAATTCAGCAATCGCGACGTCAAGTGAGTTGAGCGTCCTGAGTAAGTTAAGAGCTGTGAAAAGGTTATATCGAGTATCTCGGAGAATTGAGCCCTCTCCGTAAAGTTCTGTTATATGTCCTTAGTAACTCCTTTCGTCTCCCAAAAAGGGGTTATTCCTTACCCTTGAGAGGGGCTCGTATACATTTACAAATAATATTATCATTTAATTTGTGATGCTCATGTGGTCTTAGCTGCTATCGGCTGTTTTAACTTGATTCCAATACCTCCTTTAATTGCACACTTTCAAAACTTTTAACTATCTTCGTGTTTGGATTATAAATATATGTAATGGTGTCAAATTATGATAAAATGGTACTATTTAATAACTTGCACCAATACTTCGCAAACGTTAAGAGCTACTCAAAGAATTAAAACTTACAGTTTATAAAAAACCTAACTTTTTTTTTTTGATATTTGTACGTATACTAATTTAATAAAGCCCTTAATAAAAATGGAAACCTTTTTTTTTTCACCTTTTGTTCCTTTTTTTTTTTATTTTATTTGTTCTTTGTTTTTTGACTCTATGTATATTTTCATTTTTTTTACTAAAAAATTTGTTAAAAATAATTTTATAAGCATTATAAAAAGTTTCCTCTGCAGACTGAACCGGTTTTTTTTGATTAAGCCCTAAAAGTAAGTGAGTGAAACCTTTCCCACCTTCAGTAAAGATATTCCAATATCATATTCTTGTATACCACGCGTGGGGGTGAATACGTCAATAATTTTATTTGTCACGGTAATCTGGCATAGTCTTCATTTTTATTTTCTAAATCTTAGAAATGTTATTTCTGGGTGTTCTTTTGCATCGTTTTTGGTAAAACTAAAACATAGTGCCCCCTATTTAACAAGTAAATAGGAAGTAAGCAAAATTAAGAACTTTTATTACTTGACTTGCACTGCACCGGAGAGAGCTTTGCCTCAAACAATACTTTACACGCGTGATATCCAAAAAATTTTATTACCATATTTTTAACTAACAGAAATAACTAAAAAAATTATTTCATTAATGATTTTTACTATTAATCAGAAGTACGCCGGCTTACTTTTTTTTTAAACCTTTTTTTTTATACAGGCATTTTATTGATTTATCTCATTATACTAATTGGTCTTTAAGAACTACTTGTACGGAAAAAATAAATATGAAAATATTTGTATAATTTGCTTCTAAGGTTTTTATTTGGGTCACTTAAATTTATTTAACCAAATTTTTTTATAAAACGGACACAATTTTTTTATATTCTGCTACTTTATTAACCGCTTTGTATAACTTTTAAAACATTTTCCTAAATGTTTTATTTTCAACTTTTCTTCTAATTATTTTTAGCTATGAAGAAATTGTTTTACCAAAGAAAAAAAAATTTTTTTTTAATTTTAGTTATTGGTTTTCTCGATTATGTATTATAATTATTATTTCTTCTAATATATATATGTATTTTCCATAATACTAAAAATATATCTTGATAACTATTATTCATCTATTTTATTTATATATTATCATTTACTATTATATAGTATTCATATTTATGTATTATTGTTAGTAACTTGTTAAGCTTAAACGAAAACGTTTTATATCATTAAAATTTTCAGCTTTTTAATTGACTATTTCCTACGTAATTTTTGAAAATTTCTTCATTATTTCCCTTTGTGGAGTCTGCAGATTATTTTGCGAAATTTTTTTTTATTTAACTTTTACTTATGCAAATGGGAGGGTATTAAATAATATTTTTTGTATAATTGTATATAATATATCTAACTATATTGAGTGTAACTATTTTGAAGAAAATAATTATTACAATATATTGTTTGGGAAATTTTTCTTTGTTAAACGAGAATAGAACTAAAAAAGGTGCCTGTTGGATGTTATAGTTTATGTATTATTTTTCTGGGGAAAAGCTCCTACAAAAAATGAATCATGGCTGGCACTAAGAAATTTGAAGGTTTTAAAAATGGTGAAAAATAGCTAAAAAACCGCCAAAAAATTTTTGTATAGAAAAAAAAATATATATAATACTAGAAATATAATATTGCCAGTTTTTTAAGTAATATTATTATAAACTTTTTTTTATAACTAAAGCATATAAATGTTGTTACTTTTATTATTCTATAATTATATTATAGTAAACTTTTTTAAGCTTGAAAAATTATTTAATATTTACTATTACCAAGTTATTATTATTTATGTATATCAATAACTTATTATTATTGTAATATATAAAGTGTATAAAAATATTATTATATATATTATTTAAGAGTTAACTTTTTTCTATATAAAGAAGATAATAATTACATAAATATTATTACCAATTTTTATTATATAACTATAATAAAAACTTTTACTATTATAATAAATAAAGCCATATAAATTATTAATATTATTTTAATATATATTATAGTAATTAACTTTTAATAATACAAAAACATATTATTGTTTATATTATTGATTTAAATAATATATTTATAATAAAAACTTTTATAGCATATATATTACTATTATCATCATTACTATTATTATTATTATATATAGTAATTAACATTTAATATGTTCAATATTAGTAATCTTTATTAAATATTTAATAAAAAATTTTAATATTATAATAAATAAAGCATATAAATTATTATTATTTTTATTATATATATAATATAGTAACTTTTATTAATACAAAAAACTTAATACTTTTACTAAATTTTTAATTATATATTTTTTAAAAATTTTTATAAAATAATAATAAATAAAGAAATATAAAAAAAGTTATTTATTGATATTTTTATTATTAAAAAGTTTCAAAAAGAGACTTCTTGTGCTGGAAAGTAAAAAAGTTTGTTTCTTCAATTCTTCTACTTCATTCGCCGGAACAGCAGCAGTAAAGTCCCTTGTGCAAATATTTTCTGTAGAATAGTAATAATAGTAAAGTAAATAAAATAATTATAATAATAACATTTGTATAACTTTAATAAAAAAATGTAGATAATAAATTTTGGTAATTAAATTATTTTCATTACAAAAACTACTAAAAATTTTAAATATATAATATTTTTGTAGTACAGATTATAAATATCATATTATTATATATAATTAAGAGCAATTATAAGAAAATATTCTTATTATAAATATTATACAGCAAACAGAAAAAAGTAACAATAATAATAATAAAGTTTTACTGATTTTCAAAAACTTTTTGTATTTTTTTATATTTATATAAACTATTTCATTATTTTTCCTTTCAAAAATAAGTTCGGGACCAACCGGAGTGTCGGTTAAAAGGAGGTCGCTTCTAAGGAAAAGAAGTTGTTAAAGTATAAGGAATGATAATAATAATAATAGTAGTAGTGATAATAATATAAAACTTTGATAGATAAGAAATTCAAAACTTAAGAAAATAATAATATATAGTAATGAAAGTTTAATAAAGTATAACTAAATATGTATTTAAACATAAAAAAGAAATTTATAAAGTGTGGAGTTTTTTAAAAAAATATAAAAATAATAAATATTTAAAAGTTTTAATTTTTTAAGAAAATATTTAATAGACAATAAAAAATTAAAACTATTAAAAAAAAATTATAAATATTAAAAAGTTTTACTTTTTTTTAATAAATATTCATAAAATATATTAAAAAAATATGATAAAAGTTTAAAGTTTATCCTATAATATAATTAAAAATATAAATAAACATAATATTATAAAGTTTTGATATTTTTTTTAGAAAAAAAAATAATTTTAATAAAAAATATATTAAAAAAAGCTTTAAGCTTTTATAAAAGAAAACTTTATAATATTTATAAAAAAATAAAAAAAATAATAATTTAACAAAAGTTAAAAGATTTTCATAAAATATAATTTAAAAATACTATAAAATTTTAATTTTTTTTAAAATTATAAACCAATAATAATAGATACTAAAGTTTTACGTTTTTGTAAATGTTAATAATAAATATCAATAAAAAACATAAAAATATCCAAAATTTTCAAAAAGTTTAAAAGTTTTTTATATAAATAACATCAAAATATTATTATAAAAAATTCATGAAATATATAAATATTACTAAAAAATAAATAAAAACTATAAATACTATAAAGTTTTTTTTATAAATATTAATAAAATATATCTGAAAAAATCGATATAAGTAAAGTTTAAAGTTTTCTAATAAATATAAATAATGATATAAATATATATAAAAAATATATAAAGTCAATTTTTTTTTAGAAAATATAATTATAACAAAAATTGGAAACTTTTAATATTTCTTATATAAATGTTCATAATATAATTAAATAAATTATAAAAAAAGTTTAGAGTTTATTATTTAAATACAATTAATATATAAAGATTTAACGGTATTTTAAAAAATATTAAAAAAGTTAATATTAGAAAGTTTTCAGTTTCTTACAAAAGTAAATTATTTGATATTATAAAAAAAAAATTAATAATTTAATAAAAGTTGAGATTTTTCATAAAAAAGTAACAAAAATAATATAATAATTATAAATACTGTAAAGTTTTGAGTTTTGATAAAAGTAAATTATAGTATACTATAAAAAAATAAACTTATCAATAATATAATAAAAATTTAAAGTTTTTTTTTTTTCAATAAGTATTTTGAGAAATAGTAAATTATAATAATAATAAAACTATAAAAGTTTTCGGTTTTAAAATTTTTTTTAAAAATAATAAAACGATTTAAAAAAAAATTTACACAAAAAGTTTTAATAAATTATTCTTCAGTTTTTTAAAAAATATTTTACGAAATATTAACAAAAATTAAAAGAAGTTAATAAAAAAGTTTAATAGAATTTTTAAAAAATTAATATTAATATTAAAAAAAAAAATTATTATTATAATAAAAAAGTAATTTTTTTTAAAAATTTTCATAAAATATAATTAAAAGTTGAAGTTTTTTAATATTTTATTAATATTTTTAAAAATTTGTTAAGAATAAAATTTCAGTTTTTTAAAGAATAATTTGTAAAATGTTTAAAATAATAATGTTATTATTAAAGTTTTTAGTTTTATTAAAAAAATTTTATAAGATATTAAACAAAAAAAATAAAAATAATAATATAAAAAGTAGAAAAGTTTTTTATAAGTATTTTATAAATATATAAAGAAAATTAATAAAAAATAAAAGTTTTCAGCTTTTTTAAATTTTCCAAATACTTTTTAAAAAATAAAAAAAAAGTATTTTATAAATATTTAAAAAAAAATTTTAAGATAATAGAAGAATATAAAATTTTCAATTTTTTAAAAATTATTTCATAAAATGTCATTCAAAAAAATTATAATTTAAAACGTATTTAGTTTTTTTTAAAGAAATTGTCAAAATTATTTAATATTTTATATAAATCATTATAAAAAAGTTTTCAGTTTATTAAAAAGTTTTTCACAGTACTTTATTTAAAAAAATTAATTATATCAAAAGTTTATATAATTTTTTTTTAAAGTATTTTAAAAATATTCATAAAATATTACTTAAAAAATTAAAAAAAAATAATTATAAAAAGTTTATTAAAATTATATATATTTTTTCTTTAGATATAATAAAAATAATATTAATAATAAAAAGTTTTTAAGTTTTACATTAAAGTATTTTATAAATATTTAAATAAATATAAAAATAATAAAGTTTGTAATTTTTAAACCAAATTTTCTTAATATTAATTAAAAAAATAAAAATTATAATATAAGTTTAATAGTTTTTATAAATAGTTAGAAAAAAATAAAAATTTTCTGTTATTAAAAAATTTCATAATATATTAAAAATAAGAATAATAATAAAAGTGGAAATATTTTTTTTGTAAATATTTAAAAAAAAAACAAAAAAATAATTTATAGTATATTATAGAATAATATAAAAAAGTAATGAAAAATTATAAAGAAGTTAAAAAGAAATTTTAAACGTTTTATCAAAGTAATTCAACAATAATTTAAGTAAAATAATTATAATAAAAAAAAAGTTTTCCAGTTTTCTAAAAAATAATTTATAAAATATTTTTTAAAAAATAAAAATAAATATAGAAGTTCAAAAGTTTTTTATAAGATTTTCATTGATAACATAACAAAAATAATAATATAATAAAAGTTTTTAGCATTTAAAAATTTTTTTATAAAATATTTAAAATATTAAAATTTCAATAAAAAGTAAAAAAGTTTTTTTTATTACATTATAATATATTCTATAAATTTCATAAATAGAAAATATGAAAAATATATAAAAACTTTAAATTCCAAAAATAATTGTTAAAATATTATTAAAAGTAATCAAAATCATTTCTCTTAAATATTAATAAAATATTATGAATAGGTATAAATAAAAATAATAATCACTAAGAAGTTTTAAATATTTTGAAAATTTTATAAAATTTATATAATAAAAAAAATTAAAATTACAACGGAAAAGTTTTTAGTTTTTTGTAGGATATTCTAAATTTTATCATTATATAAAAAGTTTTAAATTTTCTTCAAAAATGTTTAAAAATTTATAAAGCATATAAAAAATAAAAATATAACTATATTTCAGAAGTTTTTCATTTTTTTTACAATTACGTTTATATATTTTTTTCAATATATAAAAAAATATAATGATTTAAAATTATACAAGTTTTTTAATTTTCTATATTATAATTTTAAGAGTTATTATATATTAGAAGTAAAAATAAAAAATTATTAAATTTTTTTGGTTTTCTAAAAATACACTTTAAAACATTTAATATTGAATAATAAAAATGAAAATTTAAAATTATAAAAGTATTTTATTTTTTTTTTAAAATACTATTTAATATATATAAGAAGTAAATATAATAATTTAAAATTATAAAGATATAATTTTCTTTAAAAAATATTTTATAATTTTATTAAAAAGTAAAAATAATTAATAAAAATTATTAAAGTTTTTTAGTTTTCCTTTAAAATAATTTTGTAAAAATTATTATATGTTATTTTTCTTAATAAATATTCAAATTTTTATTATATATTATAAAACAACAAAAAAATAAGGATATAAAAGTTTTTTTTCTTTTAAATAATTCCAACCCAAGTTATTAAATATATACAATAATAATAATAAGAATATAAAAGTTTTGTTTTATTAAGTATATGAATAACAAAATGATTATATAATATAAAAGTTTTTAAGTTTCCTTTATATATTTTATAGTTTTATTTATTATTTCAAAAAATAATTAATAAATTAATTAAAAATTTTTTAGTTTTTGAAAATATTTTATAATTTTATTAAGCATTTTTAGCGTAAAATAAAAATATAATATAAATGTTTTCAAGTTTTCTCTAAATATCATTTAAATTTCACTTAATAGTTAAAAAAATAAACTATAAAATATAATTCAAAAAGTTTTTTATTTTTAATAAAAAATATTCAAAAAAGATTATATATAAAAAAAATATAAAAAAGTAAATAATATTCTTTAAAAGAGCTATAAATAATAATAAGTCTATAAAAATAAATCTTTTATAATTTTAAAAAATTGTTCTTTAAAAAGAAATTTACTAATAAAAATATTAAAATTGTTATAAAAATAAAATTCTACTATATAAATTCTCAAGAAAAATAATTTTTTCTAATATTTACAATAATAATAATAACAAAATATTAAAAAATTTAATATTAACTAAATCGAAAAGTTTTAATAATAAAATTTTTGAAAAACACAATTTTTTTATATATATTTTGAAAAATAATAAAAAGAATTAAATGGTATTGATAATAAAATTCCCAAGTAAATAAATATTATGTAATTATAGTAACTTTATTAAAATGTTTTTTCAAGTAATTTATATATAAATAATTATAATATCAAAAGTTTTAATAAATTACTTTTTATTATAAATATTTAAAGAAAAAAATTTTGTTATTTGAAAATTAATTTAATTTTACTTCAAAATATATTAATATAAAAATAAAATTGTTACAGAATATAAATTTCTAATTAATGAAATACTCAGGAGAAAAAAAAATTATTTTTAAATTTTATAAAAATAATAAATTATTAATAAAATGTTGAATTGTACCAAACAAAATTTTAGAATATTAAGTTATCGAGTAAATATAATATTTGAAATATTATAAAATATTCAAATTATTCAAACTTAAGTTTTAATAAAAAAATTATCATTAATTAAAAATTTATATAATAGTAAAAATAATAAAATATTTTTTTTTTAATTTTTTTTTATAAATAATATTGAAATTTCTTTTAAATAATATTACAAATAATAATAATTTTATATTTTTTATAATAAAGATATAATATTCCTAAAAGAGAAATACCAATAATTATAAAATAATAAAATTTTCATAAATGTAATATATAATATTAAAAAAACTTATAATGTAAAAATAATAAAATCGTTATAAAAATAATTTACAAGCAATTTTATTTATAATCTTTAATATAACAATAAAATTTTCTTTCAAAAAGTTTAATAATTACAAATAATAAAAATGTTATGAAAAAAACTTTTAGAAAATTTATTTTTAATATTTTAAAAATTAAATAATAAAATTGTTATGAAAATAATTTTCAATATAAAAATTCTGTTTATATTTTCTCTAAAAAAAATAAAATATTCTTAAAAAAATTATAAATAATTAAAAAATAATAAAACTGTTATTAAAAATTTATCAATAAATATTTTAATACTTTTTAAAATAATAAAATATTCCTTTTAAAAAATATTATTTAATATAAATAAAAATAAAAAAATATAAAAGAAAGAAGTAAAATGAAAACTATTGATTATATATATAAAAAAATGATAATTATTTTTATTCAATAATAAATATATAAAACCTACAAACATTTATTATAAAATATATATAAACGCATTTTTTTAAATAGCAAAAAAAATTAAATAAAAACTATAAATATTCGTTATAAAAAAATAATAAAAATAAAAATCTATAATAAAAAGTTATTTAAATTATATAAATTAATATAAAAACTACGAACATTTATAAAAATAATAATAAATAAAAGAAAAGAAAAAGTTATTTATTATAATATAAAAAAATTATTAATGAAATAATAAAGTAAAATGTTATTTATTATAAGTAAAACCATAAAAATAATATAAAAATATGATAAAAAATTTATTATAAATAAATTAATACAAAAATAAAATTATTATAATCAAAAAATAAATTAAAAAGTTTATATTAAAAAGAAACCAATAAAAATAAGAAAATACAAAAACAAAACAAAAAGTTATTTATTATATATAAATTAATATAAAAATAAAAATTTTTAAACTAAAACAATAAAGTAAAAAGTTATTAATTATAAGAAAACCAATAAAATAATAGAAATATAAACGTATAATAAAAGTCATTTATGATATAAAAATTATTTAAAAAAAAATAAAATATTTTTCATTATATATAAACCAATAAAATAATAAACAATAATAAAAAATAAAATAAAATATAATTTATTATATATTAATAAAAATAATTTATCTGTTAATTAATAAGAAAAAAACCGATTAATATTAAAAAATAAAGTGAATAAATAATATAAAAACTTTTTATTACAAATTAAACAAATAAAATATAGTAAATAATAAAAATTTATTTAAAGTACATAAATTAGTACAAAAATAAAAATTATTAGATTTTAATAAGATAAAAAATTATTTATTTAAAATAAGTCTATAAAATAATAAATAATAATAAAAATAAATCAAAAAGTTATAAACTATAAAATAATTATTTTATTATTTATTATAAACAAATCAATAAATACTAAAAAATAAATTAAAAATCATAATAAAAATCTGTTTATTACAAATAAACATAAAAAGTTACTATGTTTATTTACCGTAAATAAAACAATAAAAAATAAAAATAAATAAATAAAGGTGCCTGTTATTATCATATAAGGAGATAACATCAAAAAGGTGAAAATAACGAGGGAAAGCTTCACTAAAAAGCCGATGCGAAGTCACCTGGTCCTCTATAGGCACCTAAGAAACAAGCTAGAACCCAAAATATATTAAGCTACCAAAAATGTAAAAGGGTACCCCACGTCCAGTAACGAATCTCCGGACCAATCCGCGGGTGAGCGCTATAGAAACGCTGCTGGTCACCCCAATAAGCTAAAATATAATAATAGTAATAATAATAATAATAATGAATAATAATAATCAGCAATACATCGATACAATATGGCCTTAAAGGTTTTTCGCAAGCACTTTCAATATCCCAATATTTTTCTTTTAAAAAGTTAGTGCCATTTTTGTTGCTGTTCAATAAGTACCCTGGACCTAATATTGGTATATAATAATAATAATATTAATATTTTAATAATAAAATACACCTCTTTTATATATATGCTTGTTATCTCTGAGCATTTCGATTGTTTGCGAGACGTAAGGAGCCCACGAAAGCGTCCCGTCGAATATAATATGGCGTCTTTTTTTTAAAGCTGGAAAAAATTTTATTATAACAAACACTAATAATTCCTCCTTCGATAAATAATTCTGTACCAATTGTTTAAACGTTTAAAAATATTACAAAAGATAATGTAAAATGCTTTTAGAATGGACGCCTCGTTGTAAGCTAATTAATTTTATAACCGCCAACCGCTTCTTTTTTTGTAAAAATAACGCATCAATTGTTAAACGTTTATAAGAAAAAGTTCAATTATATAACGCGATTTCAGCGAGCCTTTTTATTTAAATTTTCTTTGTAAAAATAATAACGTCAATCATTGGAGCAGAAAAATAAAACATATTTTCGATTGGTTTATTGGCAGAAAGCACGTGTTTGGTACAAGTCACATATGCTACAGTCATGCAAATAAAAAGTGATAACGTAATTATTATACATAAACTCTAAGAGTAATGGTTAAAATACATAGATAAGGCTCCAATCATCAAGCATATAAAGCATGTGAAAATTAAATTTAAAATATTTAGGTATATTCATGCTTTCTTAATACGTTTACATTAAGTTTTATTGTTATAAATAAAATTAGAGGAATTTGGAATTTTTAGATTTGAAATTATGGAATAATGAAAATTAAGAAATTTTATAAAAAACGTTAAATAAATTGAGGAAAATAAAACTTTTTAAAAATTAATTGATAGTAAACTATAGAATTTTTCCGACTTTAGTATTATTAGCAAATAACATTTTTTTAGACTTGTAAATTGTTTATATATTAAATAAATAACATTATTTACATTATATATAAAAAAATTACGTAGCTATAAACATTCTCTAAGAAAACATTCTATTACCAATAACTTTTATAAAACCCACAAAGTCTATAAGATAATGGAGGGTACACGCCGAAGCCCACTAACAAAAAAAAAAATAGTACTACTAATTTTTTATAAAATTATATAATTATAAATATATTTATACGCGGAGAAGCGCGATTAAAAAAGCAAGAAAACTTATATATATATATAACTATATACATTCTGAACCTTTTTAAAGTTAAAAACTTCCCCAGAAGTATGTTAATTCGTTAAAAAAATATTTAAATTATAATAAACATTTTTTCTTTATTTAATTATGATTTATATATTGATTTATAAAAGTGTTTCTAAGTCATCTTTGTTTTCTCAACCTGTTAAAAAAAGCTCCTCAGAAGCTTTAACGGAATAGGAATGCACAAGTTCACTGGCATATTCGCTAACCTTTCATTGGTTTATAGATTTTTACTATTATTTTTTTATTAAAAAATTAAACAAACTTCTTCCTTCAAAGCTTGAAAAACAGGATCAACAGCTTTTATTCGATCGGCGTTAATAAAAACAACACAGTTATTATGCTTTTCCCACCTAAACCAAAGTCAAGTGAGTTCACGCGTCTACAGCATTTATTGAAGGAAAAACTTACCAATCCGTTTCCGTTACTTTACCAGCAATTGAACTTTTGCCTGAAGTTTGAATAAAAAACGTGGTTGAAAGTAAACCGTTGATTAGCTCCTTACCGCTAGCCATACCGCCTCCCATAAATATTATTCGGGGCTGGTCGGGCAGATCGCACGTGTCATAGTTAGCCAAGTCACATGTACTTGCCCCTACGTAGCCTATAATAATAATAGTAATGACTATAATTGCTGTAATTATTATTAATAATAAATAATAAATAATACTGATAAATAATACTGTGGTAATAATAATAATAATAAGAAACCTAACGCTCTCAGCTTTTCAATAAGCGTCGCAAACTCGCGTTTAGCCGTCAATTCCTTTGTAAGTGATTTCTCGCGAACAAGCGCGACAGCTCTTCTCCAAAGTTTAATTGGTGGAGAGCATACCAATTTTTAATAATTTAAAATTTAAAAAGTAATTTAGGGGTAACATAAATATTAAAAAAAGATGGAAATATATGTACAAGCTATTGAATTACTTCATGCTTTAAATCATAGAATCCTAGAAAAAAATTTGAAAAAATTAAATCTATAAATTACAAAGGCTTATTATATACATCTCTTTTAAAACTAGTAAAAACATCAATTTAAAGTTGACCTAGTATTAAAATTACACACTTTATTACTTTTAACTTAAATTAATGAAAAAGATTATTAACTTAATTTTTCTGTTTGTTCAGAAGCGGTTGACTCGGGATCTGAAACGCAAGTTTTCACAAACTGCTATACTTATAAGATATAATACTTTAAACGTTTATAATAATAAACTCTTAAAAGTATAATAAAAACATCTTATGCAAGAAAAACAGCCTTACTTTTATACAAAAAATAACTTTTATAGTAAATTTATTAAAAAAAAGTTATTTTTAAGTAAAAAATTTCACTTGCTTTCTAAAACAAAACTTTAAATTTATTATTATAAAAAAAATTCAAATTTTTTAACAATAACTTTACTTTTAAAATCTATAATAATCTATTATAACTTATAAGTTACTAAATAAATAAGACTTTTATTATAAAAGAAATTTAAAAAATTTTTTTTAATATATTTTTATAAAAAAAAATTTCTCTAAAAAATACGATAAGTTATACCTTATTATAAAAGACCAATAAAATTTTGCTTTCAAATTTTACTTTATTATTAAACGTTTTACTTCTATACTTTCAAATTTATTTTAAGTTTATTATTAATTTCAACCTCTTGCTAGGTAAGCGGCTTAACTTTTATATAAAATTATAATTTTATAGTACTCCTATCAACAAAAAAAATTCCAAAACAATTTTAAAAACAAAACTTAAATAGTATTTTTATTGTAAAATAGTTTTAACCCACACTTTTCTTTCAAACTATTAAAAGCTATAGTAGCTTATGAGTAAAAAAGTATGTTATAGATAAGCAGCTTTCACTAGATATACAAAAGAACTTTTATAGTATTTCTTTTAAACAAAAAGTTTATTATAATCTCATTTAAATTTAAAAACAAACTATTTTTTGTTAAATTTTTTAACTTAAATATTTTGGAATATTTTTTTATGCTATAAAACATACTCACCTTGTGCAGATCACGAATATGTTTGTTTAGTTGCTCAAAAGATGTATAGTCATTCCAAAAAAATGAACAGTATATATTAAAAGAACACTTAATGATGACCGTAAAAAGAAAAATGAATTGTCCGATCTATTAAAAAATATAGCCATAAAGAGAATAGTCACGTTGATAGCAGTAATAACTTTTTTAATAGGTTTCTCTTTTAATCCAACGAGCAACTTTTCTAGTTTAATCATGTTATAGTTAATGAAATCCTTAACTTCATAATTAGATTCATCTTGGATTTTATGTTTTTCTTGAGTAGCAGAAGATAACTTATTATTACTTAAATTACCGCTAAAGTCCTTATAAGTTTGGTAGTAAATGTTAGCCGTCTTTAAGTCCGTGCTCCTTTTATTAACTTCATTCTCTTTTAAAATTTTTCCGCAAGAATTTATAACATATTTTAGAATATAAATGGAATGCACATTTCCTTTGCAAAGTAATTGATTGTCAGGCTTTAACTTTTTCTAAAATATAAAGGCAAAGCTTTAACTGGAATAAAACTAAAAACAATAATATTTATATATTAATAACCCATTGCTTTGAAAATATATTATAACGTAATAATGGGCAAAATAATAATTTTTCCTGAAAAAGTTGATAATCGAAACGACAATGATCCCAAAAATGAATTACTTCCGCCAAACTTTGGGAAAATAAAAGATGAAGGCGATAAATGTAAGCCGTACCTCAAAAAAAAAGATTAATTTATAAATATCGTTTTTTATAACAGTTAGTACTAATGCGCTCAATTAAATCTAACAAGAAATCGTTCTTAACCAAGAAGAGCTGGTCATATAAGTATTCTCCTAATAATAATTAGTAACACTTTTACAAATTAGAAGTATATGCACAAAATATACAAACCGAAACTTTGATTCAATAGCATTTTAACCTTCAATGTACGTATTAAAGTAACGAACACTTGTGAGAAAAGTGAAAAGTGTACAATTTTTAACGTGAAGGAAAAAATTCTACTTAATAATTATAGTAATCTTTTGAGTTGTCCAAAGTAGCTTCACTCAAAGTTTTAAGGTTTTAATTTTTTTCAACTTCTTAAGCTGTTTAAGGGCCTTTTCAGGTAGAGTTTGCAGTTTTCAATTGTTAGCTATGTGCGCTTTAACTTAATTGGCTCTAATGGTTCATAAATAAACGTTTTAATAAAATTTAGATTTAAAGAATGGTTGTACATACTATTTAAAAAACCATTAACATTAAATATAAACATATTAATATTCGCGCAAGCAGCGTCTAAAAACCATTAAATTAAATATTCACTTGAGATTAAAAAAATCTTTCGGGTGTAGCGCAAGTAATCTAATAAAGGGTTCTACTCCTACCTTCCTTTTATTATATAATATTTTAGGTTCTTTTGTAAAAATGTAAGAACGACGCGAAGTTGGAGTTCAGGAGAAGAATTGAATTAGCTGCCACACCGGATAATTGTGTTTTCGCGGCAGACATGGATTTACAAGAGTTGAACTGTTCAGAAGAAGAAGCTAAAGCACCACTTTCACTTAAAACACAAAATTTAGTGGCTTTTAAAGAAGAAGAAAAAAAAGACATACCTGGACAAGAAAATTGAAGCTTAAAAAATGGCAATGAAAGTTAAGCCTATGAGCAAACCTAGAAGTTCTAAAGAAATAGTGGCCCCAATGTTGACGCTAGGATTTACGCCTAGACATAAAATTTTTAAAAATAAAACGATTTATTATAAAAGTAGTGCAGCAGTAAGCAATTTGATGATCGAGGACATATGTATAATAGCTGAATTATAGTAGTAATAGCAATTACAAAAAAAAATTTTAACTTATTATAGCACTAGCTATAATAAGACCAATTTTACAGTAATACTGTTTATAATAATAGTAACAGAGTTGGTGAAGGTGATGGAGATTGTATTACATAAATAATAACTAAATAAAAATAATTGTTCAAAGAATAGTACATGCCAAGCTATTTAATAGTTCAGATTAACTAGAGAGAAATAGTTATTCAAATGTTGACATGAGACCTCAAGGCCATTCCAGGTGGGAAAACGCCAACATATATGTAGTTCATAAGAAAGAGCAAGAATGCGAGATGAACGGGTGGTGAAATAAATGGGGTTAAATGCAAAGTCTTGTTAGATTTTAGCTCCAGTTTTAATTTTAATTTTAAAAATCCCTATTTGGAGGGGGCCTGTGCTTCCTTAGGTGTCGTGACGGTTAATTTGTCATTTAGTGGTGTTTTTGAACTGTTACGTTGAACTTTGTGGTTCATTTCACTAGGAGGAGGACTGAACATATTACTTGGAAATAATCATTTTGAGATTTTGTTTCGATTAACGAGTCTTAATTTTACGAATCGTAATGATAAAAATTTTGAGGGATAAAGCAAGGAAACGATTGTTTTCATTTAAAGGGCAGAGCTCATCTAGTGCTCGTTGACGGGCAAATGACTCAGAAGATGTAGAACGAGAGCTAATGAGCTGGAGATGGGAAAGAAATAAAGTAAAAGATATTAAAATTTTGGCTTAAAGGAAACACAATCCAAAGCGGAATGCTGAAGTTAAAAGTTTTATGAAATTGGCGCCGTAACATGTTAAATAGTTAAGAGTAAGGTTAGGGTTAGAAATACCTATAGTGTTTTAGAGACTGAAGAAACTACCACTTGTTGTATTAAAAAAATTCAAACTATCTTTTTTTTTTTCAAAAAAAATAAAAAATTAATGTTACGGATATATTTTTTAAAAAAAAATTCCCTGAGCGTTCGGTTTTAATGCGAAGTTAAGGATAAGACAAAGATCAAGGTCATCATGCAGAAGTGCGAGAAACCATCAAAACGGGATATTTAGAGGAAACAGCCAAATTTAAGTTGTGGTGGAAAAGCCAAATTAAAGGTGCTAACCCAGAAAAATTCAGAAGAGCAGAAAAAATATATAAAAATGTGTGCTGCCATATGTGTAGTGGAAAGATATCAGGCACCGCATGAGAGAAAAATTAATTTCGCTAAGGTAAAAAGATATTTAGCACTTTAGATAATTGCAAACGTTTTTTTTAAAAGAGAGATATAACCAGCTTAAAAAAAATATTTTACATTTCCTATGCCACAGGGTAGAAGGGTGTAATATACTGTGCTATCTTTTGGTTATGTGAGTGCACCTTTCAAACACCAAAAAAGTATGAATTTCTATCGGCTGACTTAATAAATACACATGTTTACGTTGACGATTGTTTAGTGGCTAGCAAATACCAAAGTAGAACACTATGGAAGGATGTGCGATCTAACTAAAAGATATGAAAAAGTTAATAATAAAATTAGACTTAAAAAGTTTTGTTTTACGAGATCTTTAGTTAAATGGTTAGGAAGAGAACTCACAAATACAGGTATAAGAATGGGTAAAAATAAAGTACAAGTGGTTAGTTTTATGCCGTGACCGAAAAAATAAGGAAGAGTCGATAACTTTTATTCATGCAATGATTTCTTTTCCTGCAATCCCATCGTAACTGAATTTCTTTGAAAAACTTGCTAAAAAAGGCTAAATTTAACTGGAATAGCTATCCAAAGACTGTGTGAAACACCATATCTCGGCTTTCGAAAAGTAGGTTGTGCTTAAGATAAGTAAACAGTGGTTGCGAGTAAATTTCACAACCGGATAAAAGCGATGTCGATATGGGGTGTTTTATTTCAAAGATATGATGGACAATTGCATTACATAGCGTTTCTCCGACTAAGTTATACTATGCACAGAAAAAGTATAGTGTCACCGACGCAAAAACAAAACTTACGGGCTACATTTAACTTACTAGCAATTCCTTAGTTATAAAAACTGACCATAAAGGCCTTCTTACAGTGAGAGGCAAGAAAATTTTATTAAACTTATATGAGTAATATTTACTGGGTTCTAAATTTATTCTGGGAAAAAACAATTTATATTGCCGATTTGGTATCTCTCTTACCCGCTGAGGAGGCCCTGCCAAAAGGATATACAGTTTGCAGAAGTGCTACGGATGAACTTATAATTGATAATATTTAACAGTTAAGAAATATACAACAAATGTAATTTATTAAAAGTTAAGAAATATACAACAAATGTAATTTATTAAAGAAAAAATAGTTACGACCAGTATTAATCGATAGAAGTCACAAAAAGCTAATAAATAAAATTGTTGATGGTTGCCAAAGATTTAAAACAGAAGGCGTAAGCTTTGTAACTAAGTCTATTATTAACTAATGGTTATGCCTAGATCCAAAGAGAGTCATGACAGATTTTGGATTATAGTTGATAGATGCACTCGTTATGTTTGGGCCCAAGCATTACAAAAAGTAAGAAAAATAGGGTTTAAAGAAATTTTTAGATGACATTTACCAAATCGGATAAGTTTACATCGTCAATAATGTAAAGATCAATAGCATTTTTTTAACAGGTACGGAATTAAGGAGCATTGCAATACTACCGATACCATCAGTCTAACGGTCTGTGTAAATGGAAAATTCAAACTATTAAAAAAGCTTTATCGAAATCTAGGGGGGGAAGAAAACTAGAATGGATTACTTTATAGAGGAGTAGATCTATAGGCTCCACAGAATTCCTAAGGTGTTCAATGTCAGTCAGTGTTCACGATGTTTTAATGAGAATTTTTAAACGAGTAATCAAATTCTCAGAGATTTCCACAAAGATGCTCTGATATTTTTGATAACATTAAGTTAAGAGAACTGGGAAGAAAAACAAAAGCAGCTTGAATAGGTTATGAAAAGGCAATACGGGCGATTATGTATACATCGAATTTCCGGAAAGCAGATTAAAAGTTGAAAATTAAAAAGGTTCGTTATATTGTTGAATATTTTGAATGATATAATTCTAAAGTTGATATATACATGAAATTGTTGCTGGGACAGTAAAATAAGGTTAAAAAAAAAGAGATAACGGACCAAAACCATGTTCGAGCTCTGGATCGCCTGGGTTCTAAAATGTACGTTAATGTACTCTTTAAAAATAAAGTGATAGGTGAAAAGGAGAAGAGTTTTATTAAAAAAATATTTGTGTGACTTCAAAAGGTAGAAATGGGTTAGGTAGAGTGGCAGTAGTATGAAAGGGTGGATATATTTAGAAAAAAAGAGCCAACCTTAGCCCATTTTTAATACCAACCGAGGATATTAATATACCAGAAGTACTAGGGGAAAAAACTTTTGATTTTATAAAATCTAATATACTAGCAGCTTGCAAATTGCTATACAATACGAGTTATAGAGAGCAACTGTAACACAAACTATCACAAGATTGTTTTTGATAGTTCGAATAGTTCGTTCTAGTAACTTTGGAAGGTGTTAGAGGTGCGTTTTAACTAAGTTAATTCTAACGGTAAATTACGGATCAGTACGCGTTAAATTATAAGTTAGATTTGGAAATTGCGTATATATTTTATGTGGGAAAACAATGTCCAATTATAAACCTGTTGAAAAGCGTGTGTGTGTGCAAGCAGCGGATATAACCATTGAGTAACGTACTTGCTTAAGATATTGAAATTTTCCGGGGGTAGTGCGAAGAAATTTAACCCTTTAACTCCTTATAGTTACTAGTTACTATGTTTACCACTTGTAGCCTAGATTTAATTTGCCAGCGTGGGTCTACGGAAATTGACCCTAAACGACAGGCTCGGACTCTGAAACAATCTCTAGTAAGTTTAATTACCATGTTCTAACGGATTAGGCACCTACCAACAAAACATAAAAAAATGGTAGCCATTGAACGTAAAAAAAACAAATCTATTTATACTCCGGAGTTTAGCCCCTTAACCAAACTGTTATCCATCTTTAATGATTGCACTAGCGGTTCTGGAACAGAGCAAAAGTACTACCTTTCTTCACTCATTACGCAGTACTTGCTTCAATGGTATTCAGCTGGACTTACTAACTTGGATCGAAGTAGTTTCTAATATAACTTAACATGTGTCACCAAGCTTTCACACCCATTCTTAAAGTTGATAACTTGTAATCTTTGATTAGGGTAAAGTTTGGAAACCCTAATTTAGTGAGACCCGATAAAATCCTCTTTAGCTAATGTCGTCACCGTAATATGAACTTGTTGACAACTTTTGACGATTGTTATCCATCCGAGGTGTAGCTGACTTATTAATTGCAATTTTAATTGGTCTTCGGATAGTTCTATCTATGGAGAATAAGCAGTAAGTCATTTCATTATTTCCCTAAGTTTAAAGTTTTACTTTGGTAGAACAAAACTAACTAATACTCTAGAAATGCTAATTATCTTGTCCTACCAAAGTAGAACGAAATAAAAAAGTAATACAAGTAAGCTTAAATCCATAAAACGCTCCGGCCTCGGTTACAGGCTATGCCTCTGAGGTGCGTTTATATCTTAACCCCATTCAACGGACCAAGGGCGTAATGGTTTCCGGTCGAACCCTTGAGAGTCCAAACAAATAAAATTAGATAGAATTAGAGTTTAGTAAATTAGCCAAATTTTCTTTTAGAATCACAAGAATTCGACAAAATCCATAGCCAAATAACTATTTTTTAGATTGACTTAGCTAATGATTATTATCTCCTTGTTTCCACCACCAGGCCTCCGAAGATTAAAAATTCACTCTTTGGGTTCTCAAACACAGTACTCACACCCAGTAAAGATTATTCAAGGATAGTGCTATTAATCTGTAAAAAAAAATCAAAACTAGTGTACTATTACTGCATTATTTATTAGAAGCAATTACTTCCACCGAGTTACAACTAGCTATTACAGTACCTATAGAAAGCTCCTTCCGATGATACTTTTGTAAGAAAAATTATATCATAATACTAGTAGACAATACTCTATCTTAACAAGTTTTCAGCTAGTGTCTCAACATCTCGGAAGACGATGCTAGTACTCAATGTGAGGCTTTCGAACCAAAAGGCTAAGGAGTAGTTAGCTCTTTGTGTGTTACTTTATTATTCTTTTACCCGTCAAAGTCAACTTTCGATAGTTTCAAGTCTAGTTAATGAACACAAATGAATGCTTACGAATG